AGTAGTAGTAGTAGTAGTAGTAGTAGTAGTAGTAGTAGTCGTATGTCATTGTGCGTCCCATAGGTCGCAGATTGCCCAATTATTTGATGGCGATTTCGGCCCCGTCGGATCGCTTTGCAGCGCTTGCCTGCGCGCCGAGGCTCGCCCCGATGTGGGCTCTCCCCCTCTCTGTCACCGTCGACCCAGTTCGAAACATCCGAAGAAGAAGAAGAACACGCGTCATAACCATCAATTGTAGGAGTTCCGCGCGAATTTCCCCGATCGGCGGCCCCCCTGGCGGCGCCTCCAGCGCCGCCCCTGGCGCGCTTCGGGCGCGCCAGGGAGGGGGATCCAGCGCAGATCCGCGAAATCCGCGCGGAGGTTCGACGATTTATGTGTCATGTAGCTCTCGGAAGGTTATAGACCTCTTACCCTGACACGTCGATGAGCGAATCGGCCGTTTTCGGTGCGCGAGAGGGCGTCGCGGCTTCCATTTTTGCGGCTCCAGGTCCGTCGGTTTCGGTCCTAGGCCGTTGTCACCAAAGGGTGGTTTACGAAAGGGAGGTTTGTCCACCGCCGAAGTTCCTTCTTGTTTGAAGCATGTTGTGCTTGCATCCGCCCTGATTGAGGCGCGGACTCGGTGCTCGCTCGAGCCGCCAGCTCGACCGCGAGTGGCTTCTGCGCTTCTGGCTCCGTCGCAGCCTTCGCTGGGGCAGTCCCGCAGAAGCCGCCCCGCGTGGTGCGGCCGACGGGATTACTTACACGCCCGCTGCCCCAGGCCCGACCCACCCTGCTGGGCCCAGGAGCGGTGCGTCAGCATCGTTTCTCCGACCCCCATCCCCGTCCCCAATTCCCCTTGGAGACCCCCCTCCAAATTGCGCCCCCAGGCCCCGTCCCCATTCCCCTTCGAGACCCCCACCAACTTGCGCCCCCAGCTGGGGAGACGCCCCTCGAAACCCGAAGGGAGCGGCCCATGTCCCATGTCCCCATCTCGGGGGTGCAATCGGCCAGTGGGCCCAGGCCACGCCGCTGGGGCTATAGGGCTCGCCTCGGCGATGCTCCGTGCACACGCCCTCCTGGCTCGGCCAGGGAGGCGCGCGCACCGCTCCTCGTGGGGCCCGGGCTCTCGGCCCGGCCTGCGGCCGACGACGCTCACGAAGCAGCTCCCGCGGCACGCGCTTGAGCGGTGGCCGATGCGGACCGCCGCCGCGGCTCGCCGGGCACTCCTGGCGGCCCGCAGTGCCGCGGCGCGGGGCGCGCGCGCCGCCCCGCGCCGGAGTGCTGCCGGGCGGGCCCAGGCCGGCCTGGAGATCTCCAGCCTCAACGGGCCGTTCGGGGCCGTCGTTCGGTCCCCGCTGAGCGCTGAGGCGATCCTCGGCAGCCCGGACGTCGGGGGCAGCGCCGGGGCGGGATGCACGGCTTCGGCCTCGAGGGCTCGAGTATAGGAGATCGACTATACCAGCATTGATTTCCCCCAAACTTGTGTTTCGCCGAACACATACACAGTCGCATAATTACACACGCATATCTGTGTGTATCTAGTTGTTTGCATGTATGAATGTATGTACGCATGTATGCATGTATGCATGTATGTATGTGTATGTGTATGTGTATGTGTATGTGTATGTGTATGTGTATGTGTATGTGTATGTGTATGTGTATGTGTATGTGTATGCATGTATGTATGTATGTATGTGTATGTATGTATGTATGCATGTATGTATGTATGTATATATATATATATGCGTCTCTGTGTATGTATGTGTATGTGTATGTGTATGCATACATATACATACCTGTAGCCATACATACATACATGTATGTATACATACGCACATACATACATGCATGCATGCATACATACATACATGCACACACATACATACATACATACATACATACATACATACATGCATACATACATACATACATACATACATACACACACATACATACATACATACATACATACATACATACATACATACATACATACATATATACATACATACATACATACATACATACATACATACATACAATCATGCATGCATGCATGCGTGCATACATGCATGCATACATACATACATACATACATACATACATACATGCACACATAAGTACATACACATATGCATGCATACATACATGCGTACGTGCATGTATACAACCATTTACACATACACGTATACATGCATGCATCCATACATGCATTGATACATACGTCCATATATGAATGCATTGACGTCTATAGCTCTAATCGTATATAATTATATACATATAGTTAGTGGTCGCAGATCTTGTTTGCGCAATTTCGGTGGACTCGACGAGCATTTGAATTCTCGGGTAAATCAATTCTGTAGTCGATCTCCTACTCGAAGGTTCGATGTTCGAAGTTTTCGGACGTGTTCGTCGGTTCGCGGCTGCACCTCGCTGGGAGGTGTCCAGGGGTGCCCAGATCGTCTCGAACGGCCGCCGGAGACACCAGATATGATCGAACGCCATAGTTTACCTGGTCAGGGTCGCCTTCGGTGGAAAATCATGGGAGCCTGGTATACCCTCTTAAGTCCGTCTTTAGCGTCGATTGCCGTCTGGCAGTCGATGAGACAGCGCCGATTTCGCGTCGAATCGCGCTGATTAGCGTCGATTTAGTGTCGGCTTAGCGTCGATTTAGCGTCGACTAGCGTCGACTCGCAGGAGCCGACAAGATGGTATGGGAGGCTCCCATGAGTTGCCACCGAAACCTGGTCAGGGTCGCCGACAGAGGGGACAGGCTCAGGGGGGGGGGAGGGAGGCGTCGGCCCCAGTCGCCCAGACATCGCCGACAAGGAGCTTTGTAAACGTGAGGCTTTGCTATCGGGGGCCTATCGTGAAGTCGGGCATGTCCCTGCACAGGAGGAGCAGCCAGGAATGGTAAAACGATGTCTGGTGACCGTGTTTCGACTATTGTTTGACTATGTTTGAGCATCGTTCGTATTTTTTGGTTTTCCAGAATCCGCCTGTAGGAGGATATGCCCGTTTTAAGCCTATCGCCGATCTATCGGCGATGCACCGCGGATGCCAGGTCGACACTTCCTTCCCTTGAGCTCGTCCCCCAGTGTTCGGCGGCCCGCCAACTGTGTGGTGACCTCATCGTGTGGTGAGTCAGTGGGGATTCGAGGTCACCGCACGGTTTTGAGACCTGGGTCGTTCTCCGGGGATGTCTCGGACGATTGGGGCCTCAAGGGTCCCAACACCGTGTGGTGACGGACCGTGCGGTGAAATCCTTTGGGGATTCGAGGTCACCGCACGGTCCGTACGGCGTTGGGACCCCCAACCCTTCGTTGCTCCTCAGTGAGGACACCACAACCCACGTCCGCTCTGAGCCAGGACCCTCCACTCCCGACCTGGTGATCCAGGGTGTTCTGGCTGCGGGTGGGCTTCTGTTTTTGCGGGGGGTTCTTGGGGGCCATGAAACCACCTGCAACCCCAGCCAGGACCCCCTGGATCACCAGGTCGAGAGTGGGAGTTCCTGGCTGGGGGAAGGAGGAGGATCGAAAGCTGTATCTAAATATTGAGCGGGCGGCAACTAAAGTATAGATGGATATAGGGCGGCAATGCTGACGTGCCTCCTCCTCCTCGTCCTCCTCCTCCTCCTCCTTCTCCTCCTCCTCCTCCCTATCCTCCTCCTCCTCCTCCTCCTCCTCTTCCTCCTTCTCCTCCTCCTCCTCCTCCTCCTCCTCCTCCTCCTCTCCTCCTCTTCCTCCTCCTCCTCCTCCTCCTCCTCCCTCCTCCTCCTCCTCCTCCCCCTTCCTCCCCCTCCTCCTCTTCCTCCTCCTCCTCGTCCTCCTCCTCGGGAGTGGGAGTCCTGTCTGGGGCCGGGGGTGGGCCGTGCCGTCCTCACCTCAGGACGTCCCCGCGGCGCTGGTGCGCGCCTTCTTGGACTTCCGCGGCCTCCTCGTTCTGCGCGGCCTCGGGGCGCTGCTCCCGGAGCAGCTGCTCGCCATCAGCCGCTTCTTCGGCCAGGCCAGGAGCGTTCCAGGAGGGGCCTCTCACCTTCGCTTTTGTTGACGACCGAACCACACACACACACGTACCCACAGGAGGGTCGGAGGAGGGAGGACTGGCTATGGGCATGGGTGCGGGCTGTGGGGCCCTGGGGGGGGCCCCCGTTCGAATGAGGGCCCCCATCCGACAACACGCACCCATAGCCCCCTCCGTCCCCCCCTATGGGTATGGGTGCGTGTTGTCAGTTCGTCATCTGCGGGATGTGGGAATTGAGGCCTCTGTCCCCGCGTGAGGTCCGCGGAAGGCGGCGGCAGTGGAATGAGGGCGGCTCGGCTGGCGGAAGGCCCGCGGAAGCTGGCGGAAGTAGAAGCATCGCCCTCCGATTGAGACGACCGCGGGGGGGGCGAAGGGGATGGGGGTCTTGTCGGTGGATGCCAAAGTGGGTTACATCTGCCCTTACCTTTCTTACAAGTGCGTTATACGTACCCTACGAGAGGTCCAGGGGGGTGGCGATCCAGGCTAAGAGGGCTCCGCCCACTGAGCGGAGTCATCTACCCTTCTAGACCGCGAAGGGCATTTGTAATCCATACTATTAGACTAGAGTGTGTCAGATGCCACCCACCTTCGCATCCATGTCTAATGGCCATTTCAGAAGAGATGACAACATGTGTTGATGCATGGTTTCTGGAGTGGCCAAGGTGGAGCCGCAGTTGGACGACAGCAAGAAGCAGTACGAGGTCTGTCCGGGCCTTCCAGTGATGCGCATCGGTAACACCAGGGACGCCGACGGAGTCCTGACCGCCCTCTTCTCGAACGCAGCAAGGCTGGCCCCGGGCGCTTCGCCGCAGTACTGCCCGGAGTCGAGGACCCCTGTGTGGCACACCGACAGCACGTACCGTGCCTCCCCGCCCATCGGCTCCGTGCTCTACTGCAGGCCTAGGGGCCTGCAGAAAGATCCTGCCTGCACACGCGCGTGGCGTTCCAGCATGGGCACCGCCCTGACTCGACGCAGCCTCGCCCCAGGCGCAAGTAGCACGACGGCGGTGCCACGGGCGGAGGGCGGCGGGAGGAGCAGCGGGGCACCAGGCAGGGCACGTCCGCCCCAGAGCGGGCACGCACCATCGGAGGCCAGCCTGGCGGCAGGTGCCCCGCGGAAGTCCCTCCTCCTCCTCCTCCTCCTCCTCCTCCTCCTCCTCCTCCTCCTCCTCCTCCTCCTCCTCCTCCCCCTCCTCCCCCTCCTCCCCCTCCTCCTCCCCCTCCTCCTCCCCCTCCCCCTCCTTGCCCCTCCTCCTTGCCTCTCCTCCTCGCCCTCCCTCTCCGTGGGCGCTCCCGCCGTGGGCCCGAGAGGGGGCTGTCCCCAGATTGCGGAGACATGGCCAAGACCTTCGGCCCAGCGTGTCGTTCCGGCGGTTCTGGCCCACGACGCTTCGGCGCGACACACCGTCCTCAGGAGGGAAAAAACACACACACACACACACACACACACTTAATCCTCGATTCCCAGGAAAATATTGGAAAATATGGGAATTGGGGGGGAAGACAAAAACCCAGAAAATATGGGAAAATATGGGGAGTATTTTCATTTGTGTGTATTTATTTGTGTGTCCTAATTTCCCTTTACGTCCACGTGCCCCATTTCCAAGCGGTAGCGTCCCGAGCTCTTCCCCGCGGTCCGCTCAAGGCTTGTGGAGCGACGCGCCCTTAGCGGCCGCGACACGCTGAGCAAGATGTCCGCACCATAGCGAGGGTTCTTGTCGTACGGACCTATTGCAGCACCTCCCCCGTCCCCCACTCGTGGTCGTCGCCCTGCCCCCCCCCTGCCGCTCTTGCTGTCGTGGTCGTCGTCGCCGTCTCTCTCACTGTTTCACAGCACGGCCGATCTTCTTTCACGCTGTCTGCCCCTACGTATTTGCACGGCGTCTCTCTCTCTCTATCTATATGTGTGTTTACATACTTATACGTATACACAACTACAGCTGTATATATATATATATATATGTAGAAAAGTATGGATCTCTCTATCTCTTTCCCTCCTTACCGATGCGCCGCCGTTGGTGCCTGGGCCCCTCCGTGCCTCCTGTCTGCCCTGGCTCACGAGTGACGGGCACGCCCGTGTCCATGTCTCTCGCGGAGTCTGGACTCCAAGGCGCGGCCCCGCGGATTGCGCCTTCGCATTGGCTCGCTCCGCGCGGGGCATCCACGAAAAGCCGTCGCAATTATCCTCAATTCGGGCGTGTCCTTCTACAGGGGGAACATTCAAGAATAGTATAACATTAGTCAGGGGACGATTTTCCTTATATTCTGTCTGATTGTTGAATACGCTTTGACTAGTTGTTTTGTTCCGTCTGCAATCCGCCTACCTAAAATTATCCACGGGGTCGCGGCCGAGGGGTTCTCTCGGCGGCGAGCGAGGGTCAGGGGCGGCCTCACCGACCCATGGCAAACCATCCCCCTTCCGTGACGTCGCCCTCCGCCTCGCCTCCAGACGTGTGTGTGCGGCCGGAGGGCAGCCCGAAAGGCGAGCATGACGCCATAGAAGGGGATGGTCTGCCAGGGGTCGGGGTTAGACCGCGCCCGAGAGGGGGGAGAGTGAGTTCTGGAGAGGGCCTTCCCATAGGGCGGCGGGACTGCTCAGAGGCACTCGCGCCTGCCGAGAAGTGCTGTTCTCCATGCCTTCGGGGAAGGCGCAGAGAGCGTGCCAGACGGCCGGGGAGCCTCCGAGCCTTCAGAGAGGATCCGCCCCTCCTCGCTCCGCCCGGGCTCGCCGCCGCCCGTCGGCTGTACACGCGGGGGCGACCCTCTCGCCGGCGCGGCCTGCCGTGCGGGCGTGCAGGGGCCCCCGGACGGGCCGCATGCGCTGCGCGCCAGCAGCGGCTCGCGCGCACGGGCGGGGCCCGCCCGCCGCCCCCCGGAGGTCGCACGCCGGAGGCCGCTTGGCATCGCTCGGGCGGGTGCACTTTTCCTTCGGCGAGGACCCTCGAGGAGCATCCTTGATCATGTGGCGAAAAAGCCGCGCACGACCCCCCCCCCCAAAAAGCGCACAGGGAGTGGACGTCCGAGCGATGGCCAGGAGGCCCGGCCCTGCCCGCGGCCCCCTCCGGTTGCGGCGGCGGGCCCGGCGGGGAAGCGAGGAGAAGGAGGAGGAGGCTTCTCCCCCCAGACCCCCATCTCGCGCCGCGAGAAAAAAGTCACGGCCAGAGCTGTGTCCGTCCTTGCGGCCTCCGGAGGCGCCCCCACCGGGCCTCGGGGCCGTCCACAAAGCGACCCGGGATGAGGAACCAGTGCCCGGGGAGTGGGTCCAGCCTTGTGGGGGTCGACGTCGACGTCACGAAAAAACATGACGTCGGGGCTCGGGGTACGAAGGCTCGGAAGTCCCCCGCCTTCTCAGAAGTGATCCAAGCTTTCCCGGGAGACACAGAGTACCTCTCAGAATTCCCGAGGGCTTCTGAGAAGTCCCGCCGCCTTCCGAGAGGGCCTTCTCCTTCTCAGTTCCACCCCTCGCTCGCCGCAGGTTGTTCGGTAGCACATCATGGGAGCCGAGTATGCCCTCGACATTCCGTCTCTAGAGTACACTAGCGTCCATTAGAGCTTGACAATCGGTCTCTAGCGTCGATTCAGCGTCGGTTAGTGTCGCTTTAGCGTCGACTCGTGTCGAGCAGCGGCGGTTCGCAGGAGCCAACAAGATGATGGACGGGAGGCTCCCATGAGCTGCCGCAGGACTTGTTGCGTGCAAAGAGCACGGCTGGCCCGTGGGGATGGGAGTTCGCGTGTCCTCGTTGGGCGCGGAGGGCGTCCCTGCGCCCCCCCCCCCCTCCCCGTACAGTCGGGGCCCTGAAGAAGGAACCCTTTTCGTTGGGGAGGGGCTCCGTGTTCCTTGATTGTTTCGCAGCTGGCCTTGGATTTTCCTTAGGTTTTCGATCGGAAATCGAAGTTCAACTTATGGAAAATAGGGGCCTCGTTCCTTATTTAGGGTTCCTTTGGTCAACGCCACTCCCCGTAGAGGCGGGCGCCCCCGGAGGGCGCCGCCACCTGCTTCGCGGACGCACGCGGCGCGTACGAGGCGTTGGAGGAGTGCCAGCGGCAGGAGCTGGACGGGCTCGAGTGCATCCCGCGCAGGATGCGCCGATGCGCCACCACCGCTGCCGCAGCCTGGGGCCGTCAGGCCAGGGCCGTCCTGGGCCCTGACATGCTCAATGTGCCCTGAGTGTTTTTGTTGTTTTGTGTGTGTGTGTGTGTGTGGGTGTGTTGTGTTTGTTTCTGTGTGCATGGCTTGTTGTTGCCGTTGTTCACCGAGCGCGGTCCACTGCTCGCAAAGCGCCTACTCGCAAACGTCCAGACAGCACATGTTCGCCTCGATGATCCAGGCAACTTGCGAGCAGTCACTTTGCGAGCACTGGAACACGCCCTCCCAGTTGCCAGGTCTCCACGCACGCACACGCACACGCACACAGGCACACGCACACAGGCACACAGGCGCACACGCACTCACGCACACGCACGCACGCTCGCACGCTCGCACGCTCGCACGCTCGCTCGCACGCATGCACGCACGCACACACGCACACACTCACACACGCACATGCACACGAACACGCACACGCACACGCACACGCACACTCACATGCATACGCATACGCATTCGCACACTCACACGCACACGCACACGCACACGCGCACGCGCACGCGCGCGCACACACAAACACACACACACACACACACGCACACGCACACGCACACGCACACGCACACACAAGTAATCGTCGATCCCGAGGAGAATATGGGAACATCTGGGAGGTTGGTGGGAAGTCGAAACTCCAGAAATTAAGGAGAATCTTAGGGAACCCTGGGATTTGTATATTTAATTGCGTGTCCCCGGGCCCCCTTCACGTTACAGTCTTCAGCTCTGCGCGGAACCAGTCAGTTTCAGCCCCAGCCTCGTCTACATAGCTAATGGGTCTTAAGATGAGCGCCGCACATAAGCAACGACCTGAAGCACGCAGAGCAGCGAGTTCTGGTTTGCGCTTTGCACCTGGTCGAGAGCCCCCAACGCTAAGAAACTCCCAGGGCGTTCTTCACGCGAGGCCAGGAGCTCCTGCGCACCGTCCTGGGGCCCACGTTGGCCCTGGCTGGGGACGATGACACTCTGGACGTGTGTTGGCACAGAGTGCGTGTTGCCCCGACCGCATCCACTGATGAGACGCAGCCCGTGCCACACCGCTTGCGTCGTCTTAAATGGCGCCGGTGGACTTGGCGTCAACCTGCGCCCGGAAGGGTCCTCTGCGGGCGTGGTGGTGGTGTGCGGATGCCTCCTGCGGGCGTCTGCTCCCTCGCGCACCACGACGCCAAGGTGCACTCGTACTCCCCCGACTACCCGCTGCCCACCGAGGAGCAGCGGCGCGCGAACCCGCCGAGGAGGGTGCCCGTGGTGCTGCGGCACCCCGTGACGGGGATGCGGGCGCTGTACGGCGTGAACTCCAGCACCTGCGCCGTCGTCCCCAGGGGGGAGGAGTCGGGGAAGGGAAAGAGGCGCGCGGCCGGAACTGATGGTAAGGATGCGCGGCAAGGGCAGAGGCCCCCTGGACGCCCACGTCGAGGCTTTTCGAGCGGGGCTCGCCATCGCGTGCGGTCAAGGACGGACCGAAGAGGCAAGGATGCCATGGTATCCTTGGGAAGGTCACCCGTCCTTACCATCGGTTCCGATTGTACACCGAAACTTTTCGGAGCTCCACGCGGAGTTCCTGCATCAGAGCTGGGGCCCCCCTGGCGACGCCTGCGGCGCCACCCCTGGGGCGCTCCGCGCGCCCTCGCGGGGGGGCGTCGGCGCCGATGCGAGAAGTCCGCGTGGACCTCGGGAAGCGTATGTTTGTGCTGCTCTTGCGCTGGCTCGTGAGGAAGTCCCGCAGGAGCGGCTGGACGAGCTGGAGCTGTCCCCCGCTGAAGACGAGAGCGTGCACAGGATCCTGCGCAGGGAGCTGCTGCCGTTCGCGACGTCGGAGCGATTCACCGTGGTCTGGCAGTGGGAGGCTGGCGATCTCGTTGTGTGGGACAACCGCTGCACCATGCACGCTGCTACTGGGTTCGACCACCACAGGCACGAGCGCGAGATGTGGCGCACCACCATCATAGACCGCGCGTGGCGAGTATGATATCGTCCTTCTCCCACCCCGCGGGGGCCCAGGAGCGCTCAATACACACACACACACACACCGTGGCCAGGGCCCCACAAGAGAGTGTAATGCAGGTACTCGCGCGCGGGATGTTCTTCGATGCCATGGCCAGGATCCGTCTGACCGACTCTTGGCTTTCCCAGTCTCCAGCTGGGCCGCGAGATCCCCCTGCCTGAGGCTGGTCTGGGGCGCTGCAGCCCGCGTGGTGCCAGGACTGTCTGCAGCCTCCAGCCCTCGCGAGCGCCCTGCTGCCCCCATCGGCTCGCTGTGGGACGCGAGGTCGCGCGCGCGGGGGGCAGACTGGCGCCGATGGCCGAGGCGCGAGGAAGAAACACTGGCATCGAAAAAAAAGCAACGCCACAAACATAAGCGTTTGGCGCTCCTCGCGGATTTCTTGGATCCGCGTTGCCCCCCCTGGCGCGCCCCGCGCGCCGGGGATGGGGGCCCAGCACAGATCCAAGAAAACCGCGCGGAGCGTCAAAAGTTTATGTTTACAGTGGAGACAGTTTCAAGGAACACCTTGCTTCCCTCCAGGGTGTCTTGGGTTTCTTGGGTTTCGATGGTTTTTCTATTGGAAGCGTGGCGTTCCCTCACCAGAAATCAGTGGACGTCCTGGGGTCTCAGGGTTGGGTTTCTTGTGGAAGGTTTCTTGTGGACTGGCCTCCTCTGTGTGCCGTTTTTTTTTCGTCGCCTATGGCATCAGCATTTTGGGAGGTCCGGCGAGATCGAGAATCGGGGGATGGCCCGAGGATCGAGGAAGCCTCGAGGGTCGAGAAAAATCGAGGGGGGGGGCGGCCGGGGGTCGAGGAGGAGCAGGGGGGCGACCATGGAGGGAGGCCCAAGGCGAGTCTAGGCTCAAGCCGGGCCTGTCCCTCTACAGGAGGCAGGCTCAAAAATAATCCAGAAATAGTCTGGGGACGATTTGTTTAGCATTTGTTTTGAGTATGTTTTGTATCATGTTTTTATTTTCCTCCAAAATCCCTCTGTTGGAGGACATGCGCGACCTAAGTCTAGGTCCATGCAGCTTTTGCTCGCCCCGCTGACGCGGCGCCCTCCCCCCCCCCAGAGCAGGCGAGTTTACCTCCCCAGTCCCGAGTTCCGCCCGAAAAGTTGGGCCGCTCAGAGAAGGGGGGAACTCTGGGATACACCCCCAGGGGGGCTCTGCTGGACGCGCCCCCGATCAAGGACGGACGCGCCCCTCTCATCGAGGATGGACCCCCGATCGAGGATGGACGCGCCCCCCTTATCGAGGATGGGTCCCCGAGTCGGGCCCCAACCGTTCTGGCCCAGTCGGAAACCCCCAAAGTGGTTCGTGGCCGCCGCATTCCCTGCTACGGCAGGCTCGCGTCCTCGTTGCCGCGGCGGGGATGCAGTGCGGGCGCTCCAGGGTCTGAACGCCGCCTGTGGCCCAGAATCGGCCGATGTAGCGAAAGATCTGCGCTATCGTAGAGCAGCGATCCCAGACCCCCTCGAGTCATGAACGAAATCACGACGGGACGCTTTCCACTATTTCAGCCTCTGGGGGCCCCTGCCGGGCATCGGGGCCGTTGAACAAAAACGACTCGGGATGAAAAGCCGGCCCCAGAGAATGGGCCCAGCCCCCTGGGTGTCGACGTCATGAAAGAATTATGACGTCGGGGGTCTGGGGAAGGTTGAACGATCCAACGCGGCGTCAGAGACCAACGCGCGCGACATCGCGACGCAAACCAGCCGCAGCGCCGAGGCCGTGCCGCTTCGCTGCCCGCCTCGGCACCGAGCCGAGCCGAGCGAGCTGCGCGGCTTCCGCGCGGAGCGCGCTGGCTGGCGGCGCCGCCACGTGGCTCCGCCGGCGGCGTGCTGTGCTGGAGCAGCGGCACCGCTTCTCCTCGGGGGCGTCCAAGTCGGAGGTTGGATAGCGAATTGGCCGTTGTCGGTTCGCGAGAGGGCGTCGCGGCCGTCATTTTTGCGGGTCCAGGTCCGTGGGTGTCGGTCCCAGGCCGTTTTCGCTAAAGGGAGGTTTACTAGAGGGAGGTTTGTCCACCGCCGACCAAGAGGGGGGCGATGATTACCGTGATCAATGGTCGCCAGATTTTCTCATGGCCGCGGCCGACGAGATCGGTCGCGGCCGATGTTGCTTCAACTGTTGGTATCGATCGCGTCCGAGAAGATCCGGTATCCAATGATCTGGGTAGGGGGATCCTTTCGACTCCTCCGATTGGATTCGATTCGACGGATCCCCGTTCCGATTCGATTCGTTTTCGGTTTCCGATTTGGATTCTGGTCTCTCAACGGAGTCCTTACTGGCCTAACGATTTCCGCCGGTCCGATTGTTCTCCTGGCTTGGCTGCCGATTTCCGCCGATCAGATTCATTTCGGTCGCCGATCCGGATTAGCCATTCGATTCTGGCCTCGTCTGCCAAGAGTGGGTGATGACTGGGAGGGGGTAGATCTCATGGTCTGGGCCATGGGATCTCCTCGGACTTCATGCCCTCGTCCGCGCACATTCCTCCAGCCACGATGCGCGACCTCCCTCCCGTCTTGGACGCCCCCTCCGTGGACGACCCCGATGCTCGCCACCGTTCGCTCGGTTGGCTTCGAGTCGCCCTGAAGCCCCCGGCACGGTGAGCAGGCTGCCCCAGGGTGGGGGATCGGGGGGGCGGGAGGGATGGGGGAAGGGGGTCCATCACGTCGCGATTCGCGCCAGCGCCTGGCAATGCTTAAGAAAGGGTCTTTCTCAGACGGCTCTGGCACGAATCGTGACGTGACCAGGGTGTGGGGCAAGATATATATATATATATATATATAAATTCATAGAATATATATATGTATATACAAGACCGCATTGGCGCTGCGCGCCATGCACCTTGGTCCTTTGAGTTCTGCACGCAAGCGGAATGCGTGCGTGCGTACATGCGCGCATACATCTGTACACGCACACGTGCATGCACGTTCCGTATACATGTCTAGGGTCTAGGTGTATACAATATGTTTACATTGTTGTATGTGTGAATACAGCGTGCATATGTACATATAATTTTATGTGTGTACGGGTATGAACATGCAAATGCAACTCGTACGGGGCATCCTCGGGCATCTTCGCTGCCTGCCACGAGACCCTCAACGACTGATATATATATATATATATATATCTACATGTATATATATAGGTGTGTATGAATGTATGCGTATACACAACTTTATATATATACACACAACTCCATTGGCGCTTCGCGCCATGCGCCTTGGTCCTTCTCGTATCACGTGCAGGCAAGACGAGAGAGAGACAGAGGTCGATCAACCAAAGCTGTCGCTGTTGGTTGCAGTTTTCAGCGTCACTGGTATTATAGTGTTATTTATCCTTCCCTCATGTGTTCTCTTCCTCTTCCTCTTTCTCGTTATCGCCTTCATTGCCCCGCGAACTCGTCCCCGTCCTCTTCAATATTGTTTGCGGAGGCTCCTCCAAGGCGAGCTTCTAGACGTCCTCGCGAAACTTTTTAGGGGCGTGCCTCTGGAGACGTCCCTGGCGCCTTTTTGGCGGCCTCTGGGGGGTCCTCTCTGGCCACCATGCCTCGAATCGTGGTCTCGGGTCACAGTTTGAATGCTGCTGGAGGGCGTCTTCGGGCGGGCTGTCTTCGGGCTCTCTGGGAATGTCAGGAACCAATTTGGGTCGTCTTGGACCGGTTTTCGGTGCCTCTCGGGCGTTCTCGGACGCCCCGAAGGCCGAATAACCCAGTAGCCCCACACTTCACAAACAAAACGTATGAAACATCAATTTGTCCTACGTTTCGAGAGCATCTCGGGGGTGATATTTGGGCCGTCTTCGGGCGTCAGGCGGGTTTCCGGGCCCGCTGGAGTCCTTTTTGGACCGTCTCGGGGGCCTCGTGGGGCCGCCTCATGGCCAATTTGCATAGTTCGGCGCGTCCTGGAAGTCCGTCAGGACCTCTTCTCAAGGGGCGTCCAGCAAGGCCCCGGGGCCCGGGATCCCGTTTCGGAGGGGGGGGCTTTTTCAGTGTCCGGATTATTACAGGCAGATGAAAGGGAATACATGTATACAAGTTTTTTGTTGGCTCGCTTCGCTTCGCCTCAACTCGTTGTCCTACGGCCGTGCACCTTCGGGCAGCTGCAGAAGGATAGAGAGGTGGGATGCTGCTCGAAGAAGGACGGGGGGAGCATAAAGGAGAAGTTGGGCCCCCGAAGCCGGGCTGGACAATCGGCGGGTCCGAGTGCGGAAACTTTGGGACGGATTTCGATATAGACAGACCAGGGCGACTTTATCTTGTCATTTCCCGAAGAGCATGCGAGGGCGACTGGAGCGGGCAAAGATCATGACCACGAGGGGGTGAAGGCCATGGCCTCGAGGCGGATCTCAATTATGACAATTGGTGGAGGTTGAGGGCATGGCCGCGACAACGGTTCAAATCGTGACCGCGACGGGTTTGACAGTAATACGGGGATGGGCGGTCACGGTGATGATCATGTCATGTGGGGGCGAGGGTGGTAACCGTGAGTGGGGTCTTGGTCAAGACGGTGAGGGGCTCCAAGTATACACCGTGAGAGGGGAGAACGTCACGCCGGGTCAATTTCCCACAGGTTGCTGCAGAAAGCATTCGCCCTTCGGTGAGACGCAGCTGCCGTTGAGGTGTCGGGAGGGCAGCGGCAGGTCGAGCACATCATTCCTCCTCGGAGTGGTCGTCGGGCTGATTCAATCCCAATGCACTTGTTCGGGACGATCCAGGCACCCCAGAAACGCCGTCTGCGAGGCGCACTTGCTGGAAGGCATCGCCAGGCGAGAGAATGTTCAAGAACCATCAAATTATTGCATTAGCCAGGATCCACGATGTCGCTTCGGGCACTTGCCCGAGAGAGCTCATGGCGCCGCCCGCCATTGTGACCCTTGGCGTTTAGCGTTTTTGTGCACGTGGAAACTGCGTCCGTCACTGGGCCGTATGGGGCCCTGGGGGCTTATGAAGAAGTGCATCGAAGCATATCGGGAGCTTCTT